TCTTTATCGACAGTCTGAATTTGTGAACCCGAACTCGAACAGCAGCTTGTTGGATTTTTTTTATGGCATCAGTTATCGAACGCAGCTGTTTGTCACGTAGTAGAGTTGCCAGGTTTGAAAAGGTGGGTTCGGCTTGCTCACTCCGTGCACTCGGATCCATCCATTCGCACTCCAGCCGTTCGGGTTAAGGTTCAGGTATTGATTTTTACGTATTAGGGGTGACTCCAGTAGCTCTGTTCACTCCACTCCAACTCCGCGCTGAATAGCCGAACCCAGCTAAAATTGAATTCGCAGGACATGTGTTGAGAAAATGCAGGACAGTAATGAAAAAATCAGGACTTTTTTATTTTCCTAAAATAATATGTCTAATACCCAAAAATGCGTTAAATAATACCTATTAAGGTTCAAATTAAATACTCATCTCGAATGTCGAATGTCACGTCGGGCGCTTTCTCTTATTTGCTGATGGATCCTTCGTCCTTCGATGACCTCTCTATCTTTGTCTAGTTCACAGAAAATTGGAATGGCTGTCTCATAATGCTGGCAGCAGATGGATCCGAGCAAATCGACTAGAGTTGACGATAGTGATAAAAAAATAATATCGATAGTTTCGATAATCATGGTGGTGAATATCTAAACTATCGATAATTTATCGATAGTTTGAAACAAAAAAAAAATTATTGATATTGTTTTTTTTTTTTTTTTCATGGAAAGAAACATTATCGTATCAAACCTTGATATTAGAAACTACCTAAAACCAAAAAGAAACAAGAACTCAAATTGGTAACTTCAAATAAATAACCTATAGCTCTGTTCCGACCGACATGAGAACTGTTCTAGAACGGTTATTTCCAGTCGATCAATTCATTTGTCAAGTAAGTCAAATGTTCAACTTATTTGAAAAATAGGTGGGCAACTGGATATTACTGGTTCTGGAACGGTTCGAATGTCGATTGAAACAGAGCTATTGTATTCAGTGGCGCACCCAGGTTTTTTATTTGGAGGGGGGTTTTCATAAGCTCGCCGCAGGCAGGCGCTTTTCGGGTGTCACGCCCAAAAACGTTTATTTTAAGCCTTCAAAAAATAACTTTTTGTAAGTGATTGTATGGTCAGAGCTGCTGGGCAACATGCGATTAATATACCACATGCAGATGGATCAAGTCCATGCTAAAACACAGGACTATAAACTCGACTATTGCTGGAACCTCTATTAAAGTAACCGCGACAAAAGGATGCCCACAGGGCGGAGTAATTTCACCACCCTTGTGGAATCTAGTCGTGGATGAACTTCTGAGGAAACTGAAGGATCAAGGCTACATCACATCACCCTAGGCTACGCGGATGACATAGTCGTTGTTATTAGGGGAGGATTTACCAGGACGGTATCAAACCTTATATTATTAGCAAAAATGACGCCTTAGAAATCATTGGAGAATGGTGCACGAGGGAGCAACTTCACGTCAACCCCTCCAAAACAGAACTCATTCCTTTCACGAGAAAAAGAAATCTGGAGAACTTAATCGCCCCCATTACCCATCAGTCTATTCCAAAAAAGCTTATTGGAGTTTGGCAGGAAAGCTAAATTTCTACGGATCATCCTAGATATGAAGCTGACATGGAACCAATCCAATCCAATGCAAAAGATAACCACCAAAAGCAAGATGACGTTGATGTTACTAAAAAGAGCGATTGAGAAAACATGGGGACTAAAACCGTCACTTGTACAATGGATATACACTACAATTGTAAGACCAATGATAACATATGGTGCACTTGTATGGTGGCCTAAAGTAAATCAAAGACAAGCAAACCTGGAGCTAGCCAAAATCCAGAGACTTGCGTATCTTTGTATTACCGGTACACTACTCTATTCCAAGTAGAAATACATGCCATCGACTCCTGTCAGAGAAAACCTGAGGAGGGGATACACAGGTAAAAACATCCTTATCTGCTCAGACGGTCAAGCGGTCGACCAAAGCACTCCAACAGTTTTGAAATAAAATCCAAACTTGTCTGGGACTTGGAAAACCTCAAAAACCTAAGTATGGCCAACAAGGTAACCTTTAAATGGGTGCCAGGGCATAAAGGAATTGAAGGAAATGAAAAAGCAGATGCTCTGGCAAGAGAAGAATCGGCAACCAGTTATACTGTCCTGAACTCAAATAGCACCACGAAATCATCGGTAAGAACAAAAATAAACCAATGGGTGTATAGACAACACAAAATCTACTGGCAAACTCTTCCGAAGCTCAGCCACAGTAAGCTAATGGGACAACAACCATCACCTAAACTTACTGAAGAAATCCTACAAACTAAACAGGAATCAAATCAGGCTAATAACTGGACTTATAACTGGACACTGTAGCCTGAGAAAACACCTTCACACAATGGACATCCTCCAAGAAGAACCCATATGCAGACTTTGTGACGAGGAGGATGAAACCGCCAACTACATATACTTTGAGGCTTCACGCTAGTGGAGATTCAGACAGATAGGGCCAGAAGACCCTATGTCTAAACTCACCAAAAGTAATACGGTGAAGAGACTCCTAAACCTAATCAAGGTCACGAAACTTTTCACTGACTAAACAGACGAACAGGACAATACAATAAGCCGACGGCTGCAGTGTTGGGGCCAAATAACCCGACCTGTTTATTCTGCATCTCAACCAACCAACCAAGCGATTGTATGTTATGTCTTTACCTCTCTGTTTACTCACCTAAATCAACTCGCTGTCGGAGGCAAAACCTTTTAGGGGTGCCATGTATGTGAAATGGAAAGTTTGTGGGTACCTACCTATTAACCAAAATCGCAAAAAAATATTTTTACCGGAAAATTCTTTGTACCAGCGCTAAATTTCGGGAGGGGGTTTTAACCCCCAAAACCCCCCCCTTGGGTGCGCTACTGATTGTATTCAAACTAAACTAATAAGTCGCCGCTCGAGAGTCTGTCGTTTGTCTCTGTCTAATTTCTATCGTAGATTATACCGGGTGCAGTGGTGCAGTCAATCCTGTGTACCGTGCGCCCCAAACCCCGTTGACCTAACCTATTTTACATTCAAAATTGGAGCAGTGAACTCTCTAAATACTTCCTATTCAATTTAAGTTAGTATTAGTTCATTGAATTCGATTATCCCACGACTATCGATAGTTGCACTTTGAACTATCGATATTTTCGATTGTTCGAATTTTTTTGAAATATCGATACTATCGATAAACTATAGATAATATCGTCACCTCTAAAATCGACGAAAAAAAAAGATGACAAAAAACGAACACGGCCACTGTCGGATTTCCCTCCAATCCCTTCCACCTAGGGATGGCAGTTTTCAAAAAAATATTGATATCTCGATATTGATAAATATCGGTGCAGCTTATCGATGTACCTACCATCGTCACCAAAAGTAACTGGGACAGCATCATGTTAGCTCTTGTACTATTATATGATTTTGGGTGTCAAATATTTGATTATGAATTAAATGCATTGAAATGAATGACAGTAGTAGTCCAGGAGATTAATATGAATTATTTTTGTCCCAGATACTTTTGGTGACGGTGGTAGGTACCTATCGATTTTTTTTTTTTTTCAACTCAGAGCAGATTTTATTGGTTGAAAACAGAAAACTAGCATCAACCAATAAAATTCACTCTGACTGGTTTGTGATTTCTGTACGAACAAACCTAATATATCAGCAGCTGTACGAACAAACCTAATATATCAGCAGTACTTTAATTTTATAATAATTATTTTATAATTATTACAAAAAAACAAAAAACGTTTGTGTTATGTTATGGCAATGAACTGACGAACGTTATTTATGGTTGAATCTAGCCAAGGTTCCTAAAGTGAATAGGTTGTCTGGTAATGTTAACATGATGACGCATCTGGGGTGCCTTATGGACTATGGAGATTCGCATTGTGTTGAGGCACCCCAGATGACGACGATGACGTCATACACTTAGCAGGCCACCTACCTAACTCTCTCAAATAACCTTGGAATCTGAAATAATCTGAAATATAACAGCTCAGTTCAAGTTTATGCGACACAAACAAACAAACCTTTTGTTTTGAAAAATATTTTCAAATTTTCACACTTTTTGCAAAAACTAAGTGCATTCAAACGACGTAATTTGTAATAGATGATATAAAAAACACTCTAGCGGCAGGTTTTCCAGTAGCGAGTTACTTCCGGGTTAGTTTTAATTCCAGGGTAAGCGTAAGAAGTTGCTATGTTTACCCTGGAGTTATGCTTAGCCCGAGGGTGACCTGCTACTGAGGAACTGGCCCTAGCTCTTGTCTCACAAACCTGATAAACCGCACCGCCGTCCGCCACGTCCTCTACAAATATCGTCAATGTTCAATATCGATATATCGACAGACTAACATCGATGTAAAATATCGATATTTTTATTCCGTTCTGCCATCCTTACCAACCCCATCTCCCACTACCACGTCCATGACCACTCGAGCGACTCGTTGCGCAGTGTTGCCAATGACCCGATAATTATCGAAATCTACCATAATTTTGACTACGATTCAATAATCGATAATCACAAGCTAATCTAGTACCAGAATTTATTGAAACTACAATTTTAATAGAAATTTTTCAAATTTTAAGTTACAAATTGAAAATTAATTGAAAAAATTGAAGGTGGTTGGTGGTTTTGACTAGTCCCAGCTGGTAGAACTTAATTAGAATCTAATCTAATCTAGTAGAACTAGAGTTAAGCAGGCAGCACGCTCTAGCATCAGCACCTTTCGAAAACCTAGCTCAAATAAAGTTTATGGTTAATTTCATTTTTGTTTTTCTTTTTTAGAAAAATAAAAATAGAGATAAAAAGTCAAAAAAGCGACAGAAACTTTTTCTGATAATTTCTCTTCAAATTTGATAATTTTGTTCTCAAATCCTGATTCCTGATTTTGAATTTGACATCTGGCAACACTGTCGTTGCGTGTTGCCTTTTGCGTTTGTTCTTTGTTCGACAATCGACCGACGTTCGTTCATTTCACTCACAGACCAGTTCATTTTCACTTCGTCTTTGAAACGGTCCACATTTATCTTCGGATTGGATCAAAACTTTTATGTTTTTTCCTTTTGGCGTCCGATGAAATTTCAATTTAGGCTGAAAGAAAATGGGTAGCCTTCGTGAAATCGCGCTGCTTTGCAGACTCTGTACAGATAATAAGCAAGTGAATGTTCCTATTTTCGAGGATCATAGTGATAAAAAAGTATTTCTTAAAATTAACGCCTGTCTACCAGTTAAGGTAAGTCGCCATTTTTGTTCAATTTCCTTTATTTCTTGCAGCTCTTTTCGACCCGAGGAAGCCGAGGATTCTCTATTATTTGTATTTGATTTAATTTACTATTTCCTAGCAATTTTATATTGATTGGTAAGCTACCATGCAATGGGTATGGGGTTTTTCTAGGTGCTGGTTGGCGTGGCGTCACCCCCAACAACTGGCCCAACCCAACATGGCGACCATGGCGTCGGCATTTACCATCAACCATCGATGTATAAAGGCAAATTATTTTAAATGTTGTGGTCGTTTTTTGTTTTTTATTGCCATTTCAGGTTTTTTTTTATTATTTATTATTTGCAATAATTTTTAATATTTCTCAAACGGCTCCAACAACGAAGCGAACGGCGTAGGAATATTCAAGTCGGGCGAATAGGAACGCTTGAAACTGGAACGCCCTATTGGGCTGACCAATCGGAGAGCTGCATTTGGGCTTGGTCAGTCTTCTTTGTCTTTGTCCCATTTTCAATAGAAACCCTTAAATTAAACGAGGATAGGGATGCCCATCTAATTGAAAACATCGATGTTTTGGTATCGATAAAACATCGAAAGCTGATATCGATGTTAAGAAAAAATCGATAGGAAAACATCGATGTTTTGTTAACATCGATTTTTGGTTTAGTTTGTAAATTAAATTATGGTTTTTGTTTCAAACCAGTGATTCTGATTATTGTGAAAGAAATTAATTCAAATTCGTAATAAAAATTAAAATATTTTGTATTTATTTATGTCTCCTCATTATTATCAGCCAAACAAAATATTCTTGTTTCAGATCAATAATTCTATTTTTGTTTTCTTTTTCTTCAATAGTCAACCAACAATAACATGCAAGGATATCGAAATTGAAAGTGCAAAACCTAAAATTTTTGCGCAGAAACCGAAATTCGTATACAGAGTGGTTCCGAAACTGTTCTGGGACGGTTTTTTGGAACAAACCTATCAATAGCGTTTTCTATTTGCAGAACCAGCGCAAATTTTTAAAATTTTATTTCTATATTTTCAATTTACGAATACATTAAATTGGAAAAAAGAAATCAAATCACTATTTGTAAAACAAACGAAATATCGAATCAAAAACATCGATAACTGTCGATACTATCGTAATAATACCATCGATGTATCAAATACTTTATATCGATGTTTGAAAAACATCAATATTTTTTGGGCATCCCTAAACGAGGAACTATTTTAGATTTTTTTCGAATTCTGTGGATAAAAAAATTATAGCTTTTTGCTTTTTTAATTTTTTTTTTCCCCAGAACGATTCAGTTTTTTTTTGTATTTGCCCAAAAAATTCAAATGTGTCCGGAAACGGCTTTTCCATTGTGACGCCTGACGCCACCATAGCTTGCACATTGCACATTTTTGTTTTGAATTATATTTTTTTTCGAATTCTGTGGGTCAAGAAATACGAAGGCGTAGAAGGGACACCCAACTTTTTTTTTTCTCAATTTTTATAATTTCTACTTATAACTCGAAATTTTATAGTAACATTTCGTGATATAACTCGAAATTTTAAGTAGAAATTTTAAATTTTCGACCTATATCACGAAATTTTAAAATTTTGACTTATAATTCGAAATTTTATAGTAAAATTTCGTGATATAAGTAGGGTTGCCAACCGTCCTGCATTTCGGTGGATGTCCACCATTTGACGTTCATTGTTTAGCGTCCTGTAACAACCTATTGCAGAACGCCTATTGTACTTAATTTTTAACTTAATGAAGAATTCTATCAAATTAAGTCGGCTATAACCCTGGTTCTGTTCTGGTTGATAACGAAAATCATATACATTACTTGAAAAAGGAATTTATTACCTATATCTATTTGACTTATAATGAATTGAAATACTACTACTGGATCATTTTACAACTTGTATTTTCTATATATTTGAGTTTTGGGTCAAATTATTAGTTCCTATATATGCACCCTAAGAATTCTTATTGAACAGTTTTTTTTTAGTGTCTCAGCAAAGTATGTTTTTTTTTTGTCAAATTGTTTATTTATCACGAAGGGCTAATTTTGGTCGTGGCACCATCGAAGACTAGGATTCAGCACCTAAGTACTTCCTTCTACTTCTACTTCATACCTACAGGCACTAAACTTGGGTTGGGTTTCTTTGCTTTTCTAACCACACTGATGAGATCTGATAGGTCGAAACGCGTCTGTGGATGGAAAAGCGAAGAAAATTAATCCAAATGTTCACATTGTTCGTTTAAGTTTGTTAATGGTATTTTTCTCTGTAATAATAAAAATGTCCAGAATAGGGAATTTTCATATTTCTCAAATTATTTTTTTTTACATACTTCTAGTGATCAGTTGTTACATAGTTTTCTTTTTTTCCATTTTAATTTATACGTTGTAAGAAAAAAAAATTATTGAAATTCAAATCAAAAACTTTGGCGCGAAAACACAAAATCTCAATATGACAGCGCTTGTGACGTTAAGATTTTGTAAACAAGTAAATAACAAATACGCAGCAAATGAACTCCTGTTGACGCAGTGCTATTTTGGTGTTATTCAAGTGTGTTAAAGTTTGCTTTATGTGAAAATTGTCGCAATGGATGAAGAATATTGTAAAGGACTGCTTTTGTAATTTTTTTTTACTTGCAAGTTCCCTATTGACAGGTTTATTTACAGAATCGTGACGTCAAAAAAGGTAGCTATCATGGAAGCATTGTTTTGGCGGGAAATTTTTTATTTCAAATTTAGTATTACTTTTTGTGTAACAAGGGCGGTATTAGTTAAATAAAAACTGGTCATATAAATATTTTGCAGTATAAACTATCGATTTAAAACAAATTTGGAAAATTTTAGTTCACATGCAAGTTCCCTATTTATAACGTATGTCCAGAGGTATGATTTTCGAAACCATTCGAGTACATTTCGTATACGAAATTTGATACAATTTCGAATACCCCCCATTTAATTTACATTGCTGTCAGTCAAATTTCGTATACGAAATGTACTCGAATGGTTTCGAAAATCGCACCCCTGATATTTTAACACCCTCGTCCAGAAAAATTAAAAAACAAAGTGGGCAACCCTAGATATAAGTCGAAATTTTAAAATTTCGAGTTATATCACGAAATTTTACTATAAAATTTCGAGTTATAAGTGGAAATTTTGAAAATTGAGAAAAAAAAAAGTTTGGTGTCCCTTCTACGCCTTCGTAAGAAATCGAAGAATTTTTGTTTTTTTTTTTCCTAAAACGATTTAGTTTTTGATATACCTATGTATTTGCAAATTAAATAATTGTAGAGGGTGGCCCGTTTATTTTGCCCCATCTCGGTATTTCCCTGTGGAAATCTAGATACCTATTTTATGAGGAAAAGTTTTATGGCTCCGTCAAGTTAGCCCCCCCACATTCGAATTTTCTAAAAAAATTGCAACCACTTACTGTGCTCGAAGTGTGCTTTACTGTGCCGATGATATTTTGAACTGTGCCGTTTCGATAACAAAGTTATAGGAAAAAATAGATGAGGGGCTAACTTGACACTCAGCCCCCCCAAAATTTTGGAAATCAGATAAAACCAAAAAGGATTCTTATCCAATTTGAAGTGTGCTGAACTGTGCTGTATCAGGTTTTTCTGAAAATTTCCATATTCGGTCATTTTCCGACAAAATCCTACTGGGGGGCTAACTTGACGCTCAGCCCCCCCAAAATTTTGGAAATCAGATTAAACAAAATTGAATTCTTATCCAATCTGAAGTGTGCTGAACTGTGCTGTATCAGGTTGTTCTCAAAATTTCCATATTCGGTCATTTTCCGACAAAATCCTACTGGGGGGCTAACTTGACGCTCAGCCCCCCCAAAATTTTGGAAATCAGATTAAACAAAATTGAATTCTTATCCAATCTGAAGTGTGCTGAACTGTGCTGTATCAGGTTGTTCTCAAAATTTCCATATTCGGTCATTTTCCGACAAAATCCTACTGGGGGGCTAACTTGACGCTCAGCCCCCCCAAAATTTTGGAAATCAGATTAAACAAAATTGAATTCTTATCCAATCTGAAGTGTGCTGAACTGTGCTGTATCAGGTTTTTCTCAAAATTTTCATATTCAGTTATTTTCCGACAAAATAATTATACTGGGGAGCGGGGAGCCATTTTAAAGCTCAGCCCCCCAAAATTTTGAAAATCAGATTAAACAAAATTGAATTCTTTTCCAATCTGAAGTGTGCTGAACTGTGCTGTATCAGGCTTTTCCCAAAATTTCCATATTCGGTCATTTTCCGACAAAATCCTACTGGGGAGGTAACTTGACGCTCAGCCCCTTAAAAATGTCGAAAATCAGTTTGAACAAAATTGTATTCTTATCAGTGTTGTGAAATGACGGTCATTTAAAATCGTGACGGTCATTTGCGTCATGACATGTCATGACGGTCATGACCATGGTCATATTTCATAGTGATTATTTCAATTCAAAACGCCACTACCCACAGTCTATGGTCTATAAACTCACAAATGGGTTTAAAATAAGGATATTCAATTATTATTGATTAAGTTTTGACAAATAATCAAGGATTTCAGAACAGAAGAAATTTCAACAAATTACAACATATGTGAATAAAAGCTATCCTAACCTAGCAGGTAAAATAAAATAACAAAAATAATAGTTATTCACTTAAATGCCGTAAGTGATACTTTACCGCATGCAAAGGCAGTCGTTGAGAGAGGCACTTTCCGCATGTGTTAGGTACAAAATTATACCTATAAGCATCTATATCTCCAAAAGAAGGTATTATTGAAATTTCTGGAAGAGAAGGGACTTTTGAGTGTACCTGAACACCGAATCTACTTTAGCGCATACTATGCACTCTACTTTACTGCACATTTCCATACTATGGATTAAAACGGTCATGACTAACGGTCACGTTGAATATGACGTGACGGTCATGACCGTCATGACCCGCCGTCATGTGCGCTGGTCATGACCCACTAACATCACTGATTCTTATCCAATCT